CCCCAAAACCCCAAAACCCCAAAACCCCATGAATACAGATAACTTGAGTTGATGTTGTAATTTAATTTTAGATTGAAAAATAATCGGTGTTTATTCAATAAAATAAAATGCAAGCTCTAATAAACGCTTTAAACCCCAAGATCAAACAAGCAAGATTAGAAAATAAAAAGTCTACTATTGCTTTAACTTAACAGTCTTTAGATTTTACTTCTGAAGATGGAGCATCAAAGCGAAATAAACTTGTAAGGATTTAATATGATAAAGTTGATATTTAGTAAACATATACATACCAAGCGTAAAAAATAGTTGGAAATGGCACATTTGGAATAGTGTACAAAGCAACTGTAACTGAGACAGGTGAAACAGTGGCAGTAAAGAAAGTATTTTAAGACAAAAAGTTTAAAAACAGGGAACTCTAGATACTCAAAGAATTAGACCATCCAAATATTATCAGAATGAAGCATGCTTTTTTCACTTAGGGCGACAAAAATGATGAAGTTTATCTTAATATTGTTATGGATTTTATTCCTGAAACTGTGCATAGAGTTAGAAAACATTATTAAAAGATAGATCAAGAAATGCCTAAGTTTCTGATTAAACTGTATTCTTTTCAGATCTTAAGAGGTATTGGCTACCTTCACAGCATGGGTATTGTTCATAGAGATATTAAACCTCTGAATTTATTAGTCGATCCTTCGTGTCACATTTTAAAAATATGTGATTTTGGGTCAGCAAAGAAGTTACTTCCTGGAGAGTCTAATGTTTCATATATTTGTTCTAGATATTACAGAGCCCCAGAATTAATATTTGGAAATACTAGCTATGATTCCAAGATAGACATTTGGTCGATAGGATGTGTCATAGCAGAATTAGCACTTGGCGATATTTTATTTAAAGGCGACAAACCACACTCTTAGTTGGTTGAAATTATCAAAAAATTAGGCACTCCCTCGGAGGAATAGATTAAAGCTATGAACCCTAATTATAAAGAATTCAAATTTCCAAAAGTGCAGTAATAGTCATTTGCCAAAATATTCATGAGCAAAGCTGATAATGAATTGATGGATTTGCTTGGTAAGATGCTGGTGTATGACCCCAAGAAGAGATTAAATGCATATTAAGCACTGACTCACTCTTATTTTGATGAATTGAGACAGCCTGGTGTAAGATTGCCAAATGGTAATGCTATCCCTGATTTGTTTAACTTTACATCTGAAGAACGAAATTTTGCAGGATCAGATATATTTGAAAACATAATTCCGCATAGTTCTTACAAATACTCATGAATTTGGGTCTTCTAAGGTTTATTTTAGAATCGCTTAAAGTATTTGAATTATTAGATTTTTTTTAAATATGATTAATGAGATCTATAAAATTTGTGAAAAAATTATGAATGGGGTTTTGGGGTTTTGGGGTTTTGGGG